TCTCTAGAATTGAAAGAAATATTTAAATTTAACGGATTTTATTTTTTTGTTGCATTATTTATGATTGCCACTGTATAACTGTTTTTGAAAAATACAAACAAAAAATAAAAATTTTTTTATTATATCCGGGAACAATAAAGATTTTTGGTTTTAAAAAAAAAGTTGGTGCAAATGATTTATTTTTATGGTCTTTCGTTTAATTTAAAATAAGCAATATGCACTTAAGATGCACTTATTCTGAGATTATGAGATTAAGCGTTATACTTTGTAATGTTCGCGTGAAGAAATAATTACAATATAAAGAAATAATTTATTTGTAGATTTTTTTTTTGATTTCTAGGCCTATTCGTGATGTTCTATAGTTCGATTCAAACATCAATTTCAAAGTCATGCACAAATATTTACATTTTAATCATTTGGTGTATTCATATTTTTGATAATGCTATCAATAAATATTCCAGATGCAATCAAAATTCGTAACACTAATTTTTACCTGAACGATATTTTTGTAAATTCATTTTCGATATAAAAGGAAATATTGTAAATCTTTTATCAGAACATGCTTTCTTAAAATTTAAAACAAGTGATTTTATTTTAAAATGTGTTGTGATTTTTTTATCATTTATCTTTATTCCGTTACAAATTCTCAAGAATGAGAAAAAAGGAAACTTTACGTTTTCATGTTGCATAACCAAAAGATATCATTGAGCAAGCGATGCACATCATTTCATTTATGATATTATGTAATTGACAGTTCTTTAAAAAATTACTTATATTTCTTTTTCGGTTAGACGGTACTTCATCAACAATAAGAGAATTATTAATGATCGATGATTCTTGAACACAAAAAAAACTCATCTTCGGAAAAAATTTAATTCTTAATACATTGGGAATTTTAAAATAATTTGAAATATTCTTCAAAGGCATTTATTAACTTCCTTAAGTGACATTATTTGCTTTTTCATTGGTTTAAATATAAAATTTGATGATCGATTATTGGTTTAAAAAAAAAAATTTAAAGTTTTTATTGCGTAAAGATTAAATATATTTTTATTTATGAAGGTTTGAGTACATTGATCCAACTAAAAATGTTGTCTGTCACACCAAAAAAAAATTCGGTTACACAAATTAAATATAACATTACATTTTTATACGTGTCAATACAAAAAAAAAATGATAGTACAACTTTAAGAACTTTTTTTTAAAAAATAAAAAAGCCTGGATCTCGTTAAATATAAGTTAAAGATGCAAATGATAATAAAAGATGATGATGTTAATAATAATAATAAAAATAAAATTATTAAGATGATTGATAATAATTATTGAACATTTGATGAAATAAAGCCATTTGTTGCTCCAAAGCTTGAAGACGATGCTCAACGCTCAACCTTCCCGAAAAATTTCCGAAAAATTGCCCAAATGGATTCGCACCAACAGAATGAGCCACATTATGATCGAAAGCACCCGATCTTACAGAATAAAAAGTCTGCTGATTTACCATTGAAAGATTATTAAGATATGATTGATCAAAAGCAGGAGGTGGAGGCGTTAAATCATCCTGTTGTGGCGTGGTCTCTTCTTCGATATCTTGCTTCAAAGGTTCGTTCACGTTAACCGAATACCTTTCCCTTTCCGTTTTTTTGCTTTTATCACTTGAACCTGATCGTTCGTAACTGAGAAAAGTGATCCCTCTGGCCTTGTTGTATAACATGGTGGCATCATTTGCCATCTTTTTATAAACGTCTTTAACATGATCAGACTCTTCTGCCCATAGACGACTTGCGTAAGTAGAAACGTTTGAACGATGACTGGCAACATTTTTTAATTTCAGTTCTCTAACCAGCGCCATTCGGTAGGCTATGAACGCATTCGGAATTCTCACATTTTCTGACCTATTAATAGACTTTTCAGATGGGAGAAGATCATGAGCGGTAAGCGTTGGAGGGAATGGAGGTCGTAAGGTAAGTTTCGAATTCTTATTTGATGACTTATTGATCATTTTTAGAATTGTTTTCTAAAACAAAGGGGAGGGAAATATGTTTCGAGGATATCTAAAATCTAATTTGAATATGCAATGAAATTTATGAATTTATTTTTTTTTTTTTTGTTTTTTTTTAAAGAATATTTTTTGAAAGAGCAAAATCGTTCACTCTTTTATATGTAAATATGTCGGGTCGCAGCATATTGAGGCCACTTAAATTTTCATAAAGAAACATTGTTTAATATAAAAAAAACCAATATTAATCTTTGTTTCATCAAAGTTGTACATTTCAAAAATACCTGACTCCAAATAACAATTTTCTTTTTAGTATTGAAATTAAAATATGTTAATTAATTTAAAAAAAAAAAATAAATAAAATCTGTTATATCGTTTATAAATTTGACTATTGAATGATATTGATCAAGTGATACAATCTGTTGAGTAAACATATTGAACATGTTGAAACTTCTACACAGAAGGAAAATGAATGAGTCCAAGTATGGAAACAAAAAAAAAAGTCCTCCGTTTTTTTTTTGTTCTTTTCGGAGTCTCAAATGAGTAAAGTAGTTGAAATAAATTATTTACATTAATTAAATATTAAATTTATATATTAGATTTTTATTATGTTTACTGTAATATAACGGATGATAAATCTTGAAGATATCTGCTAAATGTTATCAATCATTATTTAAATATACATGTACTTTAAAACGACCGAATCAAACTTATCTGATTTATCATGAAATTTTTACTACGCTGAATCGCCGCAAAATTCGAAGAAAAATTTTCAGCGTCAGGAGATTATATTTATATATACATAATTTTTTTTTTTTTTTTTTCCCCCTAAGTATTGTTCATATTTATATAGTTAATAAATACTAAAAAAAACTGAGGCGATACTTTAATGGAAGAAGATTTTCGAAGAAATAATCAGTCGACTTTGAAAAAAAATTTTTCACTTAACTAATCTATCTTCCGAATTTACTAAATTTAGTTAAATTATCCATTACTGAACATTCATTCATATGGCTTGTTCTGAATACTCACTTCTTTTTTTAAAAAAAAAGTTGGATTTCATGTGATTTATATCATCCACTACAACGTTACGCTTGTTTAAATAATTTCTTAACATTTTATTCTCTAAAACCATATGGTTAAGCATCTTTAAAATTTTATTTGGCTCCCAACTGGTAACACAAGGTAATTCCGGTTAAATTTTAGATAATTCACCATCAATATGAGAGAAAATAATGCTTTTCCCGATGAACTAACATTATCTTCATGTTTGAATTCTTGAGAACTTTGATATTAACAAGAAGAGAGCATGCTCGTGATGGTGAAGGTGTTGGATTACGATCGCCGAGTACATGGTAATTTGTGGGTTAGAATCATTTGATTCTCGATTTATGTTGGAAAAGCAAGCATGAAAAGCTTCTAAACGACACATTTTTAAGATTCACGGCACGTTTTGTTATGATTCAATCAAATAATTCGCACAATTGATTTATCTCTGTTAGAAAGGTCTCCGTACCTTATTTTCTTGAATCACGACCATTTAAAGGAGACTCGATGCCTTTACAACTAAATGGCAGCGTTTCGTCTCTGAACATTACAAGAAGCAATTCTCGATTACAGTAAGATGAGTATGGTACCGTTTTCAACGGGCCATAACGTCATTTTGAAAGTAAAACGATTCGCTTATTTAAAAACAGCTAACATAAACTCTTAAGATCTGGTTTTAGGTCGTTAACTTTTCAATTTAATGTTATTCGCGACAATAAGAAACCGGTATTTAAAAAATTTTTTTTAACATAAAGAAATGATGAATATTTGTTTCCTTTTACCTTTTTTTTTAAAAAAAAATGACGAAAAATCCTTGATATTTAACATTTCCTAATTGGAACTTTGAATTTCATTCAAGTCACATGTATCGTGTTGGTGGTTTCTTGGTATTGAAATTTTAATTTTATATGTATAATAAGAGGGATTGATTCTAAATAAATAAATAATTAATTAATTATCCGTATGACAATATATATTTATCTTTGCATATAATATTTTACCTGTCGGTCGTTAGAATTAAAGAATTAGACAAACGACCTACCTTTTTTTACACGTTTTTCGAGCATTAAAAATATTTACTCATTTATGTCTGTTATAAATGTAATCTTTCTTCTAGGGGTTCGGTTCAAGTACTATTGCATTTATTTATGACCTAGTAAACTTGCGTGATAAAAAAAGTCATAATTAACGAAAATTTTTTAACACCTTGCATAGTGCCAGCCGGAATTAATATGAATCACATGATATTTCTGAGTTTTAAAAATAACTGCGCCTCATACAGTATTTCGTAAAATTTTTTAAAATTTCGGTCGGTTCCAATCGATAAGAATTTATCAAATCGAATTTCAATTTTGATTTCTGATTAAAATAATGCTTAAAATAAAATATCCTTTGATATTTTTCGTACCTTATTCGTGACATTATTATTATTATTAGTATTAGAGATTTTTTAGTTTTAAATTTTTTTTTTTATATAAATTTTAAATATATTATCGAATTTTTGATTTCTTGATTGAAATGTTCTATTATTTGAGCTTTTGTGAAATTAATTGCTAGAAAAAAAATAGTATATTAAAGAAATAAGTTAGTGCTTCTAATGGAATTTCAATATAATTAATAAAGTAAATATTTAAATGCGATACGATTGATGCGATTGAAAATTACTTTTTTTGGTGCCTTTCCATAGAACAAAATCATACTTTTGTTTGAACGAGGCTATTGATTCAGTTAAGAATAAAATTAGCTTTATCAGAATATCCACCTGTGTGCTTGCTTAACATTCGCGATACTTTCAAGGACAAGAAATTCTTCATGATCAACTTATTTGAAGTCCTACACTTTACTTTCGTCTTTTTATTATCTGCTTTAATATCATTGATTTTTGATACAAGGATCAGTTTCAAGGTCTTTCAACGTCTGCATAGCATAAAATAAACTTGGTTGATCTCAGTTCTATTCATATATTCATATTTAAATAAAAATCATAATTTTTAGCATAATATCAGTATTGATTTCACCATAATCGAAATTCTATAAAAAGGACGGAAAAGGTTTTTTGAAGATTAGCTAACCTTGAAAAATAATAAAGAATTAGTTTCCTAATTAAAGGATAGTATAAAATACGCTTGGAATATCTAAACCAAAGGTTCTTACCTATGTGATTTATTGATGAATCCAAAAATATCAATATTATGATAAAGGTAAGGTTTACAGTTTGGTATAAAAATATAACGAGTTTTTCAACTCAATTTACCTACAATTATTTAAAGCTTTCTAAATAAAGAAATTAACGTTATATGTAATCTTAATATTTTATATTGCAAATAATAGTGTAAGTAACTAACCTCAGTTTGGTCAACTTTAGCATAATAATATTTCGACCTTTAAATTGCCATCGTTCAAAATCCTTCCGCTCATTTTTTATTCGTTCTAACTTTCCGTTACATTTGATAAAAAATCGTATTGTTACCTTGAAACCAAATTCCGGATATGGATAAAAAATGAATAATTTACTATTAAATCAGTGAAGGTATTCGGAAAATTCTTATTTACACCAAATGTATTCGTTCTGCTCTGAGAATTTGTTAACACCTCCACGTCAGATTTTTTCGATTAATAAGTATTTATCGTTATAATTTTGACACTAAAATATCTCCAGAAGTTTTTGAATCATCAAATACATGATTTCTAAGGCAAACAACTGCATTAACAGATGATTGTTGTTAACCAAATTTGCGTCATTAGTAGTTTCATCACATTCACATTGTATTAATTCCGATCGGAGTTATAGTTTGCTAATAACAAACTCATTCCTCTCCGCAATACACTATGTCAATTTTCAGATAAGGCACTATCATTTTATTGAAAATCGTCTAATAAGCAGACGTGTGTAAGAAATGTGTATGATAATAATGCTGATATAGTATTCCCTTATTTAATGACACTGATAATTTATTATTACGATATACAATGACTAAATTTATTATATATCATATCGCATCGCATTCATATTAATCATTACCATATTATATCAAGATTTAACCATCATTGGTCTTCAATATTATCTCGTCTGGCATTAAATTCTTGTAATTTTATTATTAGAAATACCACAACATTTTAAAGATCTTTGAATTAAATCAATATCTATTGCATTCTATAATGTATCGACATTGTTTCTTGTTAACTCTCTTACTGCCATTAAATCATTATGATTTCTTCTCATATTTAAAATTATTTAGAATTAAAATTAAAAGAAATTTAAATATTATAATTTAATTTAAATTTTTTCTGATGAATATTATATAATAATAAATATTATATTTTTAATGTTTGATATTTTGAATTATATATACTAATCATTTTAATTTTATTTTATATTTTTTTAATTATATAATCTAAAAAAAATTTTATTATAATAATTTTATGCATCAATTGTAAGAAATAAATTTAAAGGGTGTCTAACAAATTACTATGAATAACTTCTTGCATGGTTAGAAGTTTAATTCTTTTTTTATAATAATAAGATAATTAAATAAGTATACTAATATATGAATTTAATAAACTTAAAATATTTATTAATTAATTAATAAAATATATGGAGTCATAATAATTACATATGGGTTGATTACTAGGAAAATCAGATTCTGGAAATTTTTTTACATTTTAGTTTTTGATGTTATTAGATTAAAATGCATTAAGCTCTTAATTTTAGTCAAAAATTTCTTAAAACTTGATTTTTCTAAAAACCCTCCTATCTAAAATTTAAACTATTTGATATATATTAGTTGAATGCCCAATGAAAAAGGATTATTTAAAAAATATAGTAAAATTGTTTATTTATATACAACATTTATACAATTTAGTATCAATTTATTCAATAAATATTCAAATTTTAAAAATTTCGATTTTAAGTATATAGATTATTATTTAAAAATTATCTAAAAAATGTATGAAAA